CTATAATAAATACATTATTAGTTGGGTTACCTATATCTAAATGACGCTTTGCATATTTACATTTTCACAGTTTTTAACCAATTGGCATCTATTTTTCCCACAGATTATATAGTTAAAGAAGGTTCAGAATGTTTAGATAGTATATTGAACCAGTTACTTTAGGATGGTTTACCTGTTTTTAATATTATTACTACATATTCGGTTATTTCTACTCTTTATTGGTTCACGAAAGAAAAAATTGTACTTATTAGTTATTACTAAAAAATCCTTCGCAGATGGATTGCCAATCTGGGTTTCATTTATCCCCGGTTTATTGTAGTGCAGCTAGTTTAAAATTAATAATTAATAAAGCAGTAAATTCTATCATTGAAATATTTTTCGATGTATCTAATTAGTAATTACTAGGGTCTAGGGCTCGGATTAAATGWAGGTAATTACGAAAAAATCAGCAAAAATCGAATTTGACAAATCCAAGTTGTATTACACAGCACTTTTGAACTACACTGTAATCCTCCGATATATCTATGCTAAGTTTCGTAAAAAGTATTAATTTAATGATTTTCTAAAATGTAATAAAACTACCTCATAGCAGGTCACTAAATAATGTTCAARTGACCCAGTTCATTATTAGTTTATAAATAAGTTAAATTTTAAATTATTGTTCATGGAACTCCAAAATAGTGTATATTGGTTAAAATTAATTGATTTTTAATTCTCATTTTATAAATATTTAATATATTATGAATCCATGGACATAATATAGTATTATTGACTATTGTGTATACGAATGTTATTTTATATATTAATAAGTAATAACGTATATCTCCCAAAAACAAATTGTGCAACGRATGATTACAAACTATAAGATTATAGCTATAATGTTTTATTTGAAAAATAATCATACCGAAAGTCAAAAGAGAGTACAATATATCTACATAGAAATAAAGTACCTTAGGAACATTTAAATAATGTGGCTTGGTGAGGCATGGTCGTACGCTCAATCTGCGGAAACGCACTGAGCATACGTACCGGTGTCGCAGGTTTTTAATACCCTCAAATATTTTTACCTGGAGGGGGGGGGGTAAAATTATCCTAGGATAACTTTACCGGGGGTAAAAATATACTAGGATATTATTAACCCCCCCGGTAAAAATGTATTTTTAAAGGGGGGTAAAAATATCCTAGTATATAATTAATKATCTGTTWAAAATATACTAGAATATATTTACCTCCCATTGAATTTTTGTAGTAGATTATTTTTACCCCCCGGTAAAAATGTGTTTTTAAGGGGGGTAAAAATATCCTAGAACAGGGATGGGTAACTCAAAGTAACTAGCGGGC